AATTTGATATTAACATTGATATTATTTTTTTTTTCAAATTTATATTTCATTCAAAAATAAAATCATTATTCTTTTATTAAAAACACATAAAATCGTATTATAACATCGATAAAGACAATGAATAAAATAAAACATTAAAATCGAGATGTATCTTGTTGCATTACACGAGTACCCTTCTAATGTGTGTGCGTATATATATATACACACACATGTGAATTTATTTACAGGGTTGGGTTCCATAAAAATCATAAGAAAAGGTCTTTATTTTTAGATCGATTATAGTTGAATGTCAACACTAATGAATTGCACCAAGATGCATGAGATTCATTTTTTTTGAGTGTAATTCATGGGTGTGCATGAGATTAAAATTATAATTAACCTAACAAAACATGTGAACCATATTTAAAGATATTTTGATGATTTAATTATTAAAACAATTTACTTTATTTTAACTTATAATCATATAAAAATGCAGGTAACATATAATTTGGTAATTTAGATTATAATTGGATCCATCGGTTCCTATCCAATTATAATTGGATACCCAATTATAATTGAATATCAAAAAATGGGGCTATAATCTGTGCTGCTGAAATTTGATGACAAATCCTTGATTTTAAGTAATATGCATCAATATACAGTACTTGTGCATAATTTACTTGTAATCTTGAAATTTTAAGTAATATACATCAACATACAGTATTTCATGCATAAAAAATGGTTTTTAAGAGTTTTTATCAAATGCTTATACGATAACATACCGACAATATCTTTTAAAACACTAATGAAAAGTTAAAAAAAAAGAGCCAAAATACTCGTAACTTAATGAACTTGTTAAAGTTGTTAGTCTAACGGATGAAAAATACAAACAACATTTAAACCAAAATATGATGGAAAAGGCAAAATTTAAAGATCAGGGTCGAAAACTGTTATGAACGACAAATCAAAGGGATGAAAATTGCAATTTATTCTAAATATTATGATCAATTTAGTCAAATGTTTTATGTTAGTTGACTATTTATATAATATATATAATTTTAATAATATAAAACTAATAAAAACATAAAAATTAATTAATGCTTGTAACCATTTGCAATTTAATATAAATTATGTCAAAATCATAATAAAAAAAGTATTTAATTAGATATAAAATTATTGATAAACGATTAAATAAAATTAAATTGGAAGGAAAAAAAATGAGATTTAAATATAAAAGGTTAATTAAATATTAGAATTTTGAATTCGGCCACAATAGTTGACAACATATGCAATCAATAGTAAATCATGGGCGTAATTTCGGGTCTGAGACTCAACATTCTCGCCACCCTATCATAAATAACCACGTGTCCAAACGTTTTCAACACCCATACCCAATTATTCTAACGTCTTTTCGCTATATGTAATAGTGTTTGACAGTTGTTGAATGATTTTATACAAAATGATTAAAAGATTCTTATAATATGATGTAAAATAAAATATAATTGTTTGATAATTGATTACAATGAAATTATGATGCTGAATGATTAAAAGAGACTCATGATACAAAATCATTTTAAAATCATTAAGAGAATTTTTTTATCAAACAAGATTTACCTCTTAACGATTCAGATGATGCTTCTTAATGAAACTATTAAGAGGTAAATTAACAACCTCTTAATAAACTTTTGATAAAAAAATGTAAATAAATAAAGAAAATGTCCAAAAACACCCTAATAAATTTTTTCATTTTAAATGATTTAGTTTTGAAATTATTTCTTTAAATGAAAAAACATTAAACTTTCTTATTTTAAATGATTAAGTTTCTAAAATATTTATTTTAATGAAAAAATTATTAAACTTTCACAATTTGGACTATTAAGATCATGATTTTTTTTAATAAACAAATCATCAAACTTTTATTAATAAGATAATGTAACTTTTTTTTTAGATTAAATGATGTAGGTAATCAAATTTTTAAAGTGCAATGGTTCATTTATTAAAAAAATATATTTAGAGATTTAATCAATTAAAATGAGAAAGTTTAATGGTTTTTTCATTCAAAAAGAGAAAGTTTAATGAGTTTTTCATCCAAAAAAACAGTCTAAGAACTTAATCATACAAAATGAGAAAGTTTAATGGTTTTAAAAAACAGTTTAAGGACTAAATCATTCAAAATGGAAAATTTTGTTGAATTTTTTGAACTTTTCCCAATAAATAATCCATTGAACTTTTCACAATATAAATGGTTAAGTTTTTGAATAAATAAACTATCAAACTTATAAAAATTTGTGACTGTACATTATTTTAACCCAAGAAATCTACATATAACCTGTTAGGAAGTTTTAAAGTAAAAAACAATATATCTGAATCAATTTCACGTATACAAACCATAAGAATATCTCCAACAACTATGTTATATTTTTTTTAAAATAGAGTATCAAAAGTCAAAAAAATCTATAAAAAGATTAAACCCAACTCCAACAGTTACTCTATTTTAGTAATTTTATTATTAAAATATTCCATACATTTAATACAATATTAATAATCTTTCTTAAACATTTATTTTCAGTACATCTTATTGATGAGAAAGAAATAAAATACCATTTATCTCTCCCTTGTTACTGTTGACCCTTGCCATCAATCTCCTTCTTGTTGCTCTATCTTTTATTTTTATTTTTCAATTTTCAATTTTCAATTTTCTTTATTTCAGATAAAAATTCCATTTATAATATCAAGATATTGTAACAAAACCATTTTATAAATCAAGATTTGATATCACAAATAGTTTATACACAAAATAGTGGGATTGATGTGGGCTAACAAGATAGGCCTCTTAGTAGTGGTGTTGGGCCGGGCTTATGATGGGTATTGGGCATATCTTATGATGTTCGAAGATAGCCCGATAGGTCCCGGACTGAGTCGGGCCAGTCCAAAATCGGTCTCTTTAAACAGGGTGGATCGGTTGATGTTGGCTCCGCCCAAAAATCCTAGGACTAATTTAGACTTAGATAGCGTCTAATCGGTCCAGGTTTCATTCTTCTGGTCCCAAGTCCAATCATGTGTCGGACACTGATTTTTCAAAAAAAAAAATATCTAAGTAAATAAGAGCTTAAAAAAATCAAAGGAACTTGAAATTTTTGAAAAAAAAACTTGAAAATCTTGTGTTATAATTTATAGAACCTTCTTTTTCTTGAAAAATCTGGACTATACATAATCGGTCCTGGACGGGGGCGGGCCTTGAAATTTCATAAAACATATAACCGAACCCAGATCGTCGGGTCATAGATAATGAACAACTTAAGTAAATAACTCTAATATGACGAGTAGTTTCAGTCATGACTCTGCAGTATGTATAAAGATATTGGAATTTGGAAGAAATTAGAATAAGAACTACATCGAACACAATTTAAAAAAAAAAGAAAAAAAAATCTAAAAATACTTGTAAATCTATCGATACAGTAAATTGCAAATAGAATCATAAAATCATCAGATCCAAACAATGGAGAAGCAACCATACAAGAAATTGTCAACAGAGACGGAGGATCGATCGTACCAATTACGCTTCGGTTTGAGAGAGAATCGAAAAGGAGAGATGTGTAGACGACGGATATATTATGGCAGACTGGATTAAAGATTCAGGGTCGAGATGTAATGGAAATAATTGAAGTTCATAGGATTTGGATTTGAAGTGACAGTCGTCTCCAAAGGATTGATAAATCCGTCAGTTGTTTGAAAGAAGTTCTTCCTTTTCAACAAGTTTCGTACTCAAATACTGCAAATACGTGAATATGAAATCAGATATATTAATGTAAATTGGTTGGAGAAAAGAGGTCAAACACGGACCTCTCCAAAAGATGACGAACGATTTAAAATTGGTGAGAGAATATTTTGACAATTTATTTTCAAACGTTGGTCAAAATACCTACCACCGTAACCTCAAGAAAAACATTTCTGAACATCTTTGGGACGTCGGAATGCGCTTTTTGTGAACATCTGGAATTGGGAATTTACTGAAATTGTCTGTGAACAATACAACGATTTAGACTGATCTTATTTGTCCTGATTAACAATCTTGTGGACGTCCAACTTCATCTATTTTATAAAAATCCCTTTTATAAGAACTTATTAAGTCTCCTAGTTTTCATAGCAGTTTTGAGGGTTCACCATCAGTAATTCTACCATTGTGCGACGTGATGACTTGTATTTATTATTAACGTTAGATGCTTTATGATATGCAGTCCAAAATAATCCTTCGCGTACTGGAGCAGCACGCCTTCTGAGACAACCTACTATTACTGTTACAATCTTCCTCATACATTCTTCATGAACAACTTTAACGACACATATTTTAATTTACTATTTTCTTACACAATTAAATAAAAATATCTGTCTAGAAAATATGTATGGCTCTGTTTGTTATCATCATAATCAGTATAATTTTACAGTATGCATGTTAATAAAATATTCCCGTACACTTACACCAACAAAATATTTTCAACAACAATGAAAACAAGACGATTTTTATTCTCAACTTCAAGACATCAGCTCAAACCTGTAGCATAATTCACACGGATACTAGAATTCAAAATTAAAAACCAGAAGAGTCTACACTGTAATATTTGAAACTATAAAATCTTGATGGTTTACAAACTATTCAAATTGAAAAACAACAAAGTCAAGATAATGTTAAACCCGACCACGACTCTAATTTACAAGTTTTAGATCCGTTTTGTACAAGTTACTAGCATTCCGATGCTATCTATTACCCTCCCTTCTTATTAACTCCATCAATAAATCATTCCAAGCATCAATGGGACCAGGTAAGCACCAATGGACACAGTCATTGGTCGTGGTAACATTTTGGAGCGGCCAATGACCATATCTGCCAGGGTGCCCATCTGGTCTCAACTGCATAACTTGAGTCACGTCCATGAACGTGATTTTAATCCCTTTCCCCCTCCCTTCGCGCTCCCCTATCTTGTATTCTTGCAATTGAGTCTTGTACATTTCTAAACTATAATCCTCCATCATACTTTCGTTATTCTTGAACGGCTTTGTTCTCACACAATCCCCACCTTTATCCCATGTTCCACCTTCGTAATGTGAAGGTGCAAAAGATCTCATAAAAACAATTCCTTTGAAGTTCTTTAACCCGTTAATTGCCCTGAATGTTGTCCGCCATGCCCTCCGGTAACTGAAGGTGGATGAGCGGTGGTGGATAGTGGTTTCTGGGCAGTACAGACAACCAATTACACGGCGATTTGAGTAGAAGATGGTGGGCCGGAAAAACCATTGGCCTGCTGAGATGATGACGTAGTCGAAATTCTCAATCTGGGATGTCCAAGATTCGTCCAATTCGTCGAGGTAGAGTTTGAATGGCTGTGTTATATCTTTTTGATTGATTCTTTCTGTGTTCACTAAATAAGGTGACCAAAAAATCGAAATGTTGAAATCATAATCTGGGTATTCCCAATGTCTAAAATTCTGGTCATCTGACTTTGAAGCATCATTTGGATATGCCACCTGAAAATTGACGTATTACAATGTTTTTTTTAAATATATCTTTTTACAAAACTAAAAAACTGGACACGAAAGTATTGATAGGTTAAGACAAGACATGACTTCAGTTGACGGAAACTTGTATTAGACATTGTTTATTTTATGTTTTTTTAATTAAAATTATTGCAAAAAAAAGAAGTTGTAGATTACATCATTTAATTTGGTTTTAGATTATAATTAATTTAATTACTTTATAAAGAAGTTTACTTGTACAACAAGTAATTAATTGATTCCTTTTTATCCCCTAAATTAAGCCTAAAGTTTATCATTTCTTACTAATTAATGTCTATTTCCATATCTTGTTAATTTCTATTTCTATTCCCATCTACATTTGTTAAAAACGATATCTATAAAAAGTTTGAGAACCACTATATCATCTGTTGTTTTATATTCTAAATCAGTACATATGAAAGTACAGTATTGTTTCACAAAACGAATAATGTGTTTATTGTTTTTATGACATTATGGAACAACACTAGGTGTACTTTCACATACATTGTTTTACAATGTAAAATGACACATGATCAACGGTTCTCATTTGATTATCCCTTTATATATATAGAAGATTAATCATTTGAGAACTGCAAAATTTGTGAGATCCATGAGAATTTCTACCTTAAGGTTTTGTTTCACATGATCTTTTTCGTCTAAGTATATAGTATTTAATGTATTGATTGACATATATTTGTTTCATAATATGTTTTCATACATGTGAAACATGTTTACGTGTATTTTTTGTTTCACATGTACACCAAAAAGGTTCACATTGTGAACCGAGTACATGTGAAACAAATATATGTTAATACTACATTAAATTTTAGCCATAGATGAAAAAAAATCATATGAAATAACACATGATAGCATTGGTTCTCAAAAATGAAAAGACGAACATACCCTTGATAAGAGGCAAATAAGAGACTGCATATGATTTCTTGCTATAGAATCACCAACAAATGCAAGAGATTTTCCCTTCATCATCTCCAGAAACTCCACTGGATCAAAAACTGGTAATTCACACTCACGAGGTTTCCATCTCCATTTCAAGAAATCCCGATCCGGCCGACCGAATTTCATACAGTTTTGATGCTCTTGTATCGCCCAACAAGTCGCATTCGTGTAATACGGACCCTCCCGATTCTCCACCCATTCGCCCGAAAACAAATCACACGACGACCCACCACCACCACCACCATCAAGATTCTTAATTTCACCGCCACCGGCGCCACCACCACCATCAAGATTCTTAATTTCACCACCACCACCATCAAGATTCTTAATTTCACCACCACCACCACCGGTGGACCGCTTTAAAACCGCCTCCCTCCACCCCCTCTTTCTCTTCTTCTTCCTCCTCCTCCCGCCCTTCCTATTTTCTTTCTTCTCCGGAACCACCAACACCTTAAGATCCTCCTCCTCCTCTTTTTGGGCGGCAGGCGGCAGGAGGTGGCTGCGGTAGAGAGGGTGGTGGGCTGAGAGCGTTGTGGTGGTTTGAACATCCAAAAGATCGTTGGAATGCGATGGATTTTCAGATGGTTTTTCAAGAATGTAACGAATATAAGGATAGTAAACAGGAAGAATGGTGATGATTAGGGTTAGGGCTACAAGAGGGGCTATCTTGGAAGAGGTCTTTCTTCTATGTTTGCCTTCATTAATGGCATGAAGCTTCATGAATGATTATGGTGGTAAATGAGGGTGGAGACGGAACAAGAAATCTTTAATTGCATACGAATATTGCGGTGGTTTCATTAACAAAGTTGATGGCTATATATCTCTTGGTTTATATTTATAGTAAAACTATGTAATTGTAGTTAAAAATATACATTTTTACCCCTTGTGGTTTTGTTTATTGATATATCTTGTTACAAGAAATGATCATTTTCGATCAAGAAATTAGTTCAAAAAAACGATGAAATCCCATTCGTTTTAACTTTGTTTCAGAAACCCATCAAAGTAATCGTGTTTGCTTATTTGTCTAGGAAACCAGTTCTATATGATAGCGAACTTATTATTAACAAGAGGCACTTAAACCACAAGAGTGGTGTCTGATTGGTTTGACTTTGAATTCAAAGATCAAAAGTACTTGGAGATCTCAGGTTCAAATCTAAAAAGGAATAAAAATTTCTCTTGTGACCACGGATGTTCAAATAGGTGACTCTGGGCTATCTGCAAAACATGTGGTCTTTCTGATATTAGTCGGCTCACATAGCGGGTTGGATATCTAGGTTAATAAAAAAGAAAAAAAATAGGCATTTAATAGCCAAAGGGTAACTGGTCAAACGATATCTGGGTTACTGGTAGAACCTAACTTCTTGGTAGGTCAATAGTTCAAAATTCACTAAATGAAACTTCTTGGGGGTTAAAGTGTGATTAAATGAAAGGTTGGTGCCATAAGTGTAACTTACTCAAATTTAAAGAAAAGTCAAGTGCCAGCCGTTGTTTCAAAGTATTGTTTTTGACATGTGTGTAGACTTTCATACCGTCGTTTTCTACCCAATCTACCTTCAACTTCCATTTTTTACATATTGTGCCCTATAAACAAAAAAAATAACAATCTACCTTTAACTTCCATTTTTGTATACATATTGTGCCCTATAAACAATAAAAACAACGATACGAGAATTCTCACCTTACACTACTACATTCTGCATTTTCAGTGACAGTCTGGGCCATTGAAAATCCCAACAAGAAAAGACATCACAGACGGATTTCTGGTGGATATCATGGCCGGTTAACTATCTCAGAAAAAACTACTAAATTCTGCAGTTTCTCCGACAGACTAAACTTGGTTAAACATTAAGATAGTGTCGTGAAAGAGGTGAAAATAATCTCATCGGATGGTGAAATAGAACATGAAACTGTAAGCTACCAAGCAATAGGAGTGCGGATCCAACTGTATGCCTTTTAAAGAATGAGTTGCCAACTCATAGGTGTTTATGCCAAAAAATTGATTTTTTACCCAAACTATAGGTAGTGGCTTGGTTAAGAGTACCAACCGGAGCCGTAGAAAGCGAGTCTTCATACGAAAATTGTCACCAGTTATGGAGACCGAACCTGGTGTTTTGTTCATGACTAGGATGAAACTTAGGTAAAACTAAGTGGAGGTCTAAACCGACTGATGTTGAAGAATCAACAAATGAGTTATGGTTAGGGGCAAATTGACACTCAAATTAAGATCATATAACGTTAATCTTGTTTTAATCTTACGAATGTGACATCTTTTTTGAATTAAAACGGGTTAACAAATGTTGGTGGTAGAAAGAAGAAAAAAGCAGAAGATTAGGGGTCGAAATGTAAATGGAATAAATTTACTAACTTGTCACGCAAAGTCACTAGTCCCTTTTTTTTGATTCTCAAGGGAATCAAAACACTCCCCCTTTTGTCAATGTCTTGATATTATTACATTTATTTAATTAATTTTTTTAAGTTAAGGGTATATATGGAAACAATATTTCTATTCTTTTTTTATTAACCTGGATATCTAACTTGTTATGTGAGTTGACTAATCTCAGGACGACCACCTGCTTTGCAGATAGCCCCGAGTCATCGCATTTGAACCTTCGTGGCTACAAGAGGATTTTTATTCCTCCTTAGGGGATGTTTGGTTCATGTATTTGGATGAAATTGAAAGGAATTGGAATGACCAAATTCCAAATACAATGTTTGGTTCATGGAATAAAACTGATAGAATCCTTTCAATTCCAATAAATTCATTCACTCACGGATTTTACATTCCACAGCAATACCCTCAGATTTCAATTCATTTCCGGCAAATTCCTTTCCTAATCCAAATTCATTCAACGTTGCATCTATCATCTCATCTAATTGATTTTTGGTTCGATCTCTATCTGGTACGCTCTCTCTCTCTCTCTCTCTCTTGTAATTTCTCCATCTATACGAGATCGATAGACAACATATGTAATCAATAAATCAATTCAAAATAACTAGCTATCAATATCACTAGTCCAATTCCGTTATTCAAAAATCATAAAAGGTCATTTGTTGATATTTAATTCCGATTCCAAAGTTGAATTCCGTGAACCAAACAAAAAAATCCAATCTGTTAAGAATTTCATTCCAATTTCATGCAACCAAAAGTAATCACAAGGCATAGTCAAATTTCATCAAATTCCATTCCATTCCTTCAAAGTCAAATTCATTTGATGAATTCCAATTCCATCGAATTCCATTATACGAACCAAACCCCCCCCCCCTTGGTTTAACATGAAATGAAAATTGAGGGGGGTGTTTGGTTCAGACAAATGAAAATGATGGGGAATGAAAATGGGAATGAATTTTCCTGGAATGAAAATTTAGGATTCTGAAGGAATAGACTCACTATATTATAAACTAAACAGTTTTTTTTATTTTCATTCACATTAATTACTGCTTAAAACCTCTTACCAAACACCTCCTTAGACTCATGGTGGAATGAATCCATTATATATAAAACCAAACAATTTCTATTATATTCAATCTCATGAACGAGCGCTTAATACCTCTAACCAAACACCCCCTTATATCATACAAGGGTGGTGCCTGATTGGTTTGAGTTTCGCTCCAAAGTCAAAAGTACCAGGAGGTCCCAAGTTCAAATCCAAGGAGAAATAAAAATTCTCTTGTGACCACGAAGTTTCAAATGTGGTGACTCCGGGCTATCTGCAAATCAGGTGGTCATCCTGGGATTAGTCAGACGCATAACGGGTTCAATATCCAAATTAATAATAAAAAAAAACATCTAACTAAACACGCTATTATTGTTAATATAACTATTTGCCAATTAGATGTAAATTATTTTAATATAGCAAAGAGAAAATCATTAACAAGTTTACTTTTAGTAGTTTGGGCCTTGGCCTAGCCCAATACAAGGGTTCGTTGTCTTAAAGACTTAAGAGTAACATTTCTAGTAAAAATATGACCAAATTGGGTCCGGTTCGGTCCGGTCGGCACCGATAGGAATCAGTTATGATCCAACGATCTAGGACCGGTTATAAAGGTTATGGAATTTTACAGCATGGTTGGGTCCGGCAGGAGATCAGGTATGGACCGATTATGTATAAGACCTGATTTTCAAAAAAATTAAGTGTTTATTAATCATAACACTTGTTTTTCATATATATATTTTCAAAATTTTCTTAAGTTTTTGTCAAAGTAAATGCATTATTTTAATACTAAATTTCAAAAATTGTAATTAAAAAACATTAATAAAGAAAATTATGAGTCGAGCCCAGAACAAGATTTAGGAGCGGCCCGATATCTAAGAAACTGATTTGGGACTAGACCGGTACCTATTTTTGGCCATCTATATTTCTAGTTAACGTGTCCGTATTATGGACAAGGTTTAAAAATCTAACTAGAATCGTAAATGTGTTGTCAATTTTTTTCTCGAGAGTTTTTTAGCACACCTCCTTCATCTTAGCTTACTTGTGCACTGCATCAACGTATCGTTGCGCCATTTTCTGATGAAAATTTAAAAGAGAGATAACCCTACCGTTCGGATGTTGATCCTATAAAGACGTCAAATTCATTCCCAACTCTAGTCTCGATCGACTTTTAACTCCTCAGCGCATCTCCAATCAGCCGACAATTGTGAGGATTTGCCGTTTGTGAGCGTTCCAATGGGCCGGCAATTCGATTTAGGTTTTGACGGCTCCATCATTTGAACCGTAAATATACCATGGATGTGTTGAACGGCAAAAAAAAAATGTGGGACCCACCCACCATCCTATTAATTTATATTAAAAACCAAATTTCATTTAATAATTTAAGAATAAATAACATAAACGTTTATATAGAGAGAGAGAGAGAGAAAGAAAGAGAGAGAGGGGAAGAGTATACTAACTCGGAGAAATAATATAATTTATGTATTTTTTTAATTTGTACTATTTGAATTAATGTAATTTTTTTAATGTAAAAATTATTAATTAAAAAATTTTCGTTTTTATTTTAACAGGTCTTTATTAAATAATTTAATTACTAATTATTTATTATTATAATATCTATTACAAATTATAATTATTGTTGTTAAAAATAATAAACAAAATATTTTATTTTTATGTGGAGTCCACAAATTTAGTGTTTTTTATAGTGTGATTGGAGTTGAGTTTTTTTAGTATTGATGGACCCATTATATATGGTGTTTTTGGTGTGTTTTTTTTTTTTTGATGATATGATTGGAGATGCTCTCAAAAAATGTAGTATTAGTTGTAACTTGTTTCACCTTAAACTTGTCTCAATTTTTGGACTGTCAACTCTTCACTACTGTCTTATATACCACCGCCTTTATTTTCATCAAATCTACAGACAATATCGATGGCCATTCTTTGCCTCCCACTTCATCCTTTTACGATATAGTCAACCAGTCATTGTTGTCGGATTTCATTAACTCGATGCATTTACGTTGAAATTTTGCATTTCATTGACAAAAATAACATATATACGTGATATAGATAGTAAGGGGGTGTTTGCTTTTGGTTTAATAACTAGTTATGTACCCGCGCAATGAGGCGGGAGCCGTGATTTTGTCGATTTTAAAGTTTCACTGGTTTTATTAGAGAAGATTTAACGATGATATAAGTTACATTTGGTTTTTACATATTAATACAATTTGAATAAAAAGAATTATGGTTCCAATTACAGTCTATCGAAGAAAAAAATTGTATGACAGTTTAAAATCCAATATATTTAAAATCCAACATATTTAAACGACTCCACAAATGTGTTCGATGTACACCAAGAACAAAGAATCAAGAGATTGAGAACGAGACCGAGAGTTCTAGAGCAATTGAACGGGAGATGAATGAGAATGCTTTTAATAACTCATGATGAATATCAGTTTGAATCTCACATTGGGGGATGAGAAGAAAACATAGAGGTATGAGAGGGTGAAGACATGAGTGAAATGTGTCAAAAGTATCTTGGGAACATAAAAAGAAAAGGTAATAATGTGCCTTGGTAAGTTGTACTATATGTTATTTTAATTGTAGATTAAGAGATTTTAAGACTGAATGCATAAAGTAATAGTACTTAATACATTATGAGTTGTTTTTAAGACTTCGTGCATAAATTTATAGTACTTTGTATATTGAAAATTGTTTTTAAGACTTTTGATAAATCTGGTTTATAAGGTAATATAGATGTGCGTCTGGTCTTGATCTACTGTACCTTTGCTCAACAATTTTTCTCCCTGTGTCGTTGCTGCTTATATATTTTATCAAATTAATTAACTGTAATCGTATCTTGTTGAGCATATAAATTTTATTTTACAAAAATTAAATTTGATAACGTATTTTTGAGGTTAAAATCATAATTTATGTAATTCAGACTGTTTATTCAAGACAAAGAAAATCTACCTCGGTTCATACAAACAACTTAACCGTTACAGTCAGACTTAATCCATACTGAGCTTAATGGTAAAAAAATCAAACACCCTACTGGTTTAAATTCAATAATTCCAACTCGCTATCACCTTTCCTTCTATCTAATTAAGTGAATTTGACTTACACGATCATTTTTGCTTCATTATTGTTCTCATTAAACGCTATTAACGTTTCGAGTGTTTCCGCTCCACAAGATTCATTGAAAGCGGCACCCTTCCAGCTTTTTCAAAAATTTGACAGGACCCAGTTGAAAGAACGTATCCCTCTATAATCCAAAATTTGATGTTCCTGTCATTCTACATCGGACGCTTATCAAAAGGAAATTTGCTCATTTTACGTAGACTTTTTTAACTTGTGATTCTAAAATACATCGGTCATCATTGGACGCTTCAGATTCGAATCCAAAGCGAAAATGACAAAATTTATATAAAAATTAACACAGATACATCCTTCTCGGTGGACGAACCTTTTGTGGTCGTCATTTTCAACTTTAATCCATAAAACAAACGTTTCTTTCCATGTCACTTCCTTGGCCTCGTTCTTCCCACTTGTTAATATTATAACCATCCACTAAATATATAAATATTTTTAATTAAGAAATGCATTATCGTAACAAGTATATATAAATTGAGTATCGATATTTTATTTCTAAATTAAATCAACAGATTGTCGTTAATTGTTTGTGTTTATTGTGTCAAAGATTTTTGGTCTGATTCCTACCGATTGTTATCAGATGTTTTGGAAGTTATGTCAGTTAACTAAAAATCTAAATTTTATCTGATTCAGTACGGAAATGTTTTCTTGAACATTGAATTAGGTAACGATAAAGCTAAAAGAACAGATAAGTGACATAATAATACACAGCTAATGTATGTTTTTTTTTTTTGTCTTTATTTATTTGTTGTTTTATTGGGAAAAAATTAGGTATTATTTTCGTATTTTTTTTGCCTCAGCAAATACAGTTTTTAAAATAATACAACAGTAACGAATTAAACTGGGATTCCATTTTTGGGTAATCTTTAGTAAAACACCAAAAATACGTTTGCAGGTAATTCATAAGATTTCGAACCCTTTTCTCAAATAAAGGTGTGTTTAAAGTGTCGAAACCTAACCACAAGGGTGGTGTCTGATTGGTTTGAGCTTGGCTCCAAAGGTCAAAAGTACCTGGAGGTCTCAGGTTCAAATCGAAGAAGGAATAAAAATCCTCTTATATCCACGGAGGTTCAAATGCGGTGACTCCGGGCTATCTGCAAAGCAGGTGGTTTCCCCTGGGATTAGTCGGCTCGCATAGCGGGTTGGATATCCAGGTTAATAAAAAAAAGTGTCGAAACCTTATTGTTCAAGTCATAGTAATTATTTTGAAAACGTACATCGAGACACCAAAAGATATTAAACAAAAAGAAACCGTTACAACTTTCCAACTAAAAGTCAAAGGTCAAACTCTCAACAAATGCGTGGTCTATCTTTCTCTTTAGTACATTCTTTGTGACATCCATATAAAACACACATACACACATCCCCCAACTCCCCAAGTACCATCTCCATTATCCTCAGGTATTTGCTCTTTCGGGTTTTGTCGTTTTAACTCTCTGATACTGTATTTTTAGTCTTCATTTTGATATGCATGCGTATGTATATATTCGTAGTTTTTGTTGTTTTCAGAAGGGTCGTCTTTGGATCGATTGATATATATCAGGAAAATGGTTTTCGGGAGGTTGATGGTGTCGTTGAAGATGAAATTGAGGTCTTTGAAGATGAAGAAACCAGTAGTTGATGATGACAGCTCCTGGCACAGCTACGACAAGATCGAAAAGAGTGAAAGCATGAGAGTCGAAATACGCAGCAAGAAAGCACGCAAGCTTATTGAAGAAACTCTTAGAGTAGCAGATTCTCCCAAAACCACCAAAAGCTACTCTTTTTGAAAGCAGCAATTAAGTTGCCCTTCATATCTTACTGTATAAACCTCATCTGAAATAGCAGTGTTGCTACTAATTAAGTTCGAACATAGTATGTTAAAATCTTTAACAAGGTCTTATAAAAAAAACGGTTGGATTTAATTGGTCATACCGTTCTATTTCTTATTTACATTTTGATACTTATTTTACTTTACGGGTTTATTAGCAAAGTTAACTGTAAGAATAACGAGTTTTTCAATCATTGTATTTCGGTTTTATTTGGTAAAAAAAAAACCACTAAAATATCTCAAAACAAGTTGTTATAACGGTCGTGTTTTTTTGTCCTTGCGGTTTGTTAAATAAAATGGTAAAACGACTGTATTACATCTGACTTAACTGATCTTTTAATGAAACTAATCAAATAGAGGAAAAGGAAAACGGATTACGTACTAGAGGAATTTAAACTACAGTTATAACATTGTAGGATTAGCTCAACTGACAATAAGTTTTGGGCATTTAGGGATTTTTCTTAGAAGTTATCTGTTCGAGTCTTGTAAGACCATCACGGATTTTCCTGCCTGTTCTTCAGGACCTTTAAAAATAATCGATGTACGTACAAGTTGCCTCAGACAGACAGACAAACACTACGGTTAATGAAAACACCGTAATGGATTCACAACAAAAGCTAACAAAATAAAAAAGGAAGTATGTGGCTGCTGGGATTCGAGCCCAGGTCTCCACGGCCACAACGTGGAATTCTTACCACTAAACTACAGCCACTTTTGTGTTTTCAATTCATATATTATCTATTTAAAACCATCATGTTTTAAAAATATATATATATACATAATTTAACAATACAGAAGTTTAATCGAAGTTATCAAAGGGCTTTTGGCCTAGCGGTATGTAAATCTTTGACCTCCTAAAAGGTCGAAGGTTCAAACCTCACCAAATGTGGGGAAGGTGCGTGAGTTTAATTGTTCTATTTGTAGTATATAAATATTATATACTTCAAAAAAAAGTTTAATCGGAGTTGGATTAGGATGGGTAGTGTCGTCTCCGAACTTGATCCTTTGAATATAAACCTTCGTTACCCGCCGAAGCGAGAAATCTCTGCCTCGTTAGGGTTGGGTGCCCTTGAGTAAATATATATTTATTGATGTCATTGAAGGCGGGTCAGTGTAGGACAGATTGGATTGCCGGTAATCAATTTGGTCCAAAAATAGCGTGATAGGACTAATTTCATATTTTTCTAAAATTTGTATTTAGATATACAAATCCAAATATATAATATAAACTAGAAGCATACTCGCGCAATTCGGCGAAATACATCGTGATTTTAATATTTTATTTTATTCTTTATCTCAGTCGATGTTATAATATAGCTTTATGTGATTTTGAGAAATCGATGATGTTTTTATT